TTCTGTGTATAATATAATACCTGCACATAGACAGGATAACCTTTTTCTTACCAATGTGAGTGCCTTTTCTCTCTTTGTTTTGGCTATTTTTAAACTGTGCTTAGTGGCCCTTTTATCTTTAATATTTTTTGCAGGGGCAAAAGGATTAGTAGTTTCCTTTTCATTTTGCTTCTAAGATTGTATTTTACAGCCCATAGGAAAGAGGGGAAATTGAATTTAGTGATGTTATTTTGCTTAGAAATTCTTGAAGAGCAACTAGTTTCTGTGCAAAAATGCAGATCCAAGTGGTAGGGTAAAGTTGTGTTGCACAGCTGGTAAGTTCAGAACTGGAATTCTTGCCCAGGTTTTTCTGACTTTGGAGCTCCAACTCTTAAAATTAATTTCCATATCACATTGTACTTTATGTCAGAATTACAGAAAATGATATAAGTGAAGTACCCTTTTTTTCAAATCACACTTTAAAAAAATGTAGATATCCATGCACCACTGTAAGATTAAAAAGTAACTAATGAAAAGATTAAAACTGTCAACATTCCAGTCTGTGGTGGTAATTGTTATTGATCTATGAAAAACATTAAAGTCATACTTTATATGTACATACAGAATGACTTGTATGTACATATGATTTTCACTCAGAGTGAGAAATATCCTAGGTCTTCAAAGGTATTTGTGCAGCATTTCTGTTTAAGTTTTAAGAGTTTTACTGTACAGAGGAATGAGGTGATGTAGAGTGAATGCAGCTTTCAGTTTTCTCTCTATAAAGTTGTGCTTTCCTGAGTTCTGACTCCTTAAATCTTTTTGACTTATTTTGAAATAATTTTAAACTTATAAAGAAGTTGCAGCACAAAGAACTTCCTGTGTAACTTTGAGCCAATTGCATCGTTAACATCCTGCTGAATTTTTATCACATTCCCTCTTATATACTCATTTTTGCTGTGTGCATGTGTGTAGAGAGAAAAATAATGAGTATTACTATTTTCAGAATTCATTTGAACCATTTGTGAATAAGTTGTTTATGTCATGCCCCTTTCCATTATATGGGTGTATTACTAATCATTGAAATATTTGTTCTATTATTGTCTATATTATTTGCTTCTACTTTTTCTATTTTAAGTTGCCTTGTAATATGAATGATTTTGAAGCTGTTTTTCTTTGTGTACATCTATGGACTTTTTCAAGTTCTTAGAAAGTGAAATGCTGAATCAAAGAGAATGTACAATTTTAAGGCTTTTACTATTTATTATTAAGGTGCCTTCCAGAAGGAGTAAATCTTTTAGTCTCCTAGTAAGTCATTTCACCTTTCTGCCAGTAGTGTATTAGAAGCCCACTTCTCAGTCTTTTGATCAGCCTTATCATAATAAATCTTATTTTTAAAATGCCTTTACTAATTTCCTCATTGAATTGCCTCTTAATATTCCTTTATTTTCATATTTCCTTGTGGTGGTCATCTTTTTCTTTGATGTATAAGGGGTCATTCTGTATTATATTCACAGTTCATTTGAACCATTTGAGAATAAGTTGCTTATATCATGGGAATAGGTGCTCTCAATAAGGTAGGATCACTCTGCCCTACCACCTGACTGTTAATAGTCTCACAACATTTATTAATAATCTCTCCCATGGATTTAAGTTACTGCTTCTATAGTTTAACACATACTTACTACACTAGTGTTAATTTCTGAACTGCTATTTGCTTCATTGATCAAAGTATTGGTTGGCACAAAACTATTTTGATTGTTGGGTTCTGTTATGATCTCCTAGACCATATGTTTCAGAATTTCTTTACTATTATCACAGAACAATATTATTCTGACATACTCACTTTAATAAAAGTGGTCTCAAATTACACAAAGTGATCCTGTTTGGATTTTAATTGGAATTGTTACATATTCAGGATAATTGGGGAAAAGAAACCTATTTAAAATATTACATCTTCTAAGGAAGGACTTTTCTTTATTCATTTTTATCATTTTGTTGAGGTATAAGGACTGCCCATATGTAAAGTATTCGATTTGATACATTTTGACCTATATATGCACCTGTGAAATCATTGTAACAATCAAAGTAATGAATGTATCCAGCAGCACCCATACAAGTTTTCTCATCTTTCTGATGTCATCTTCTCACTGTGTACCCTGATGCAAACACTGCTGTGCTGTTTCTATAGATTAGTTTAAAATTTCCTAGAATTTTATGTGAATAGAATCATAAAGTATGTGCTTCTTTGTCTAGCTTATTTTATTTACTATGCTATTTTAAGATTCATACATGTTTTTGCATATACCAATAGTTTGTTCATTTTTATTGTTGAGTGACATTCCATTGTATAGATATACCACAGTTTATCAATTCACTTATTGATAGATTGTTTCTAGTCTTGGGCAAATAAAGCTACTATGAACATTCATGTCCAAGTGTTTGTATGGACTGTTGTTTTTAATTTATCTTGGATAAATACCTAGGCGTGAATTCCTTGGTCACAATACTTGATATATGCATAACTTTAAAGAAATTACCAAACTTTTCCAAAGTGGTTATAAATACAAAAACATATTTTATATTTCTACTAGCAGTATATGAAAGATCCATTTCCTCCACATGTGACCAACATTTGGTATGGTTTTAATTTTAGATACTCTAGTGCTGTAATACCGTGGCACATCATTGTGGATTAATTTGTATTTCCCTTATGACTTATATTGAGCATCTCTTTGTGCGTTTATTTATTATATGCATATCTTTTTTGGAGAAGTGGCTGTATAAACTTTGGTCCATTTTTTAATAGGTAATTTGTTTTCATATTACTGAGTTTTGATAGTTCTTCATATATTCTTGATCCATGTCTGTTACCAGATATGTGATTTGCAAATGTTTTCTGCCATTTTATCTTTTCAATCTCTTAACAGTGTCAATGAGCAGTTCTTAATTTGGATGAAGGCCAATTTATCAAGGTTTACTTTGATGTATTGTGTTTTTGGTATCATATTAAGATACTTTCCCTAACCGAGGTCACAAAGATTTTCTCTATACTGTCTTTTATAAGAGTTTTATAATTTAATTTTACATTTAGGTCTGTTACCCTATCAAATTAATTTTTGTATATGGTGTGAGAATAAGGATCAGGGTTTTTTGTTTGTTTTGGGGTTTTTTTTTTGTATGGTCATGAGTGCTACCACCCTTGTTAAAAAGATTTTTCTCATTGAATTGCTTTTCACCTTTTTAAAGTCAGCTGGCCATATATGGATTTATATGTTCCATTCTGTATTTCTATCAATGCTGTGCTCTCTGGAAAACATGGTAATATAGGTTTTCCAACTTTTTGTTCTTATTCAAAATTATTTTGGGTATTATAGATCTGCATTTCATTGCAGATTTTGGAATTGGCTTGTCAGACATAAACCTGATTTGTATTGCATTCAATCTGTAGATTTGTTAAGGGTGGCTATAACAATATTGAGTCTAAATATATTCATTTAGTTAATTAGGTCTCAGTAATGTTTGGTAGTTCCCAGTATGTTGGTCTTATATTCCTTATGTCCAGTTCATCTCTTTTAAGTATTTCATATTTTTTACAGTATTTTACAATTTCTAGTGTTTGCTTATAAGTAGAAATACAGTTGATTTTTGTATATTGCTGTCACATCCTGAAATTTTACTAAACTCACTTTGTAGTTCTAGTACTTTTATTGTAGAAAACAAGATACTTTATATAGACAGTAATGTTGTTTATGAATTAAGATAGTTTTACTTCTTCCTTTCTGATCTGGATACCTTTTATTTCTTTGTCTTGCTGTTTTGAACTGACAAGTCTGTTAACATGATTTACATTGATTGGCTTTCAGATATTAAACTAACCTTTCATTCTGGGGATAAACCCACTTGGTCCTGATTTATAAGCATTTTTATTCATTGTTAGGCTTGTTTTGACAAATTCATAAGAGTTGGTCAGTTCTTTTCTTGTAATGTCCTTGTCTGGTTTTAGTGTCAGAGTAATGCTGGCCTTTTATATTGAGTTGGGAAGTACTGGTATTATGTCTCCTCCGTATTTGGTAGAATTCCCTAATGAAGATGATTGGGTCTGGAATTTCCTTTGTTGTGAAGTTTTTAACTACAAATTCATTTTCTTTAATAGGTAAAAGGCTCCTTAGGTTATCTATTTCTTTTTGAATGAACTTAAGTCTGACTAGAAGTTTTGTAGTTATATTTTAAAGTACCAGCTTTTTGGTTTCATTGATTTTTCTCTAGTTTTCTATTTTATTTATTTCTGTTCTGTTACTCCCTTTTCCAGTTTACTTTCATTTTAATTTGCTTTTTTTTTTTCTTTCATTTAGGTAAAAGCTGAAGTTATTGATTTGAGTCCTTTCCTAATATGGGAAGATTAGGGTTATAAATTTTCCTCTAATCTTGTATCTACCTTCCCCAAATACTGTATTTTCATTTGCATTCAATTCAGAATACTTTTTAATTTGTATTTTGTATTTTCTTTGCTGCATGGATTGTTTAGTTTCCAAATATTTGGGGATTTTCCAGATACTTTTCTGATGATGATTTCAAGTTTAATTTCATTTTGGTCAAAGAACATGCTCTGAGTTATTTTAAATTTATTGAGACTGTTTATATTCCTATTCCCCCCCCTCCCACCCCATGATTCTTTTTTCTTGATAAGCTTATTTTTTGCATAATAAATTTTGTTTATGCTTTTTTGTGTGTGTTTGTTGTTCATTACTGCCAGTTCCATCCAGCTAGGGGGCTCCAGGTGTCTTTTTTTGTTTAGCCATTGATTTTTTAGATGTTATTCAGTTGTTTAAGTCTTTAGTTGCCCATTAAAAAATCTAAAACCCAGGAGGAAGAGGATGTAATAGTAGTTATAAAGTGTTGATGTATTAAAATACAAAATAAAAGAGATAACATTACTTTTGCCTCCAAAGTAGTAAAATACTTTATTTCACCTTTGAACACAGCCATTAATTACATATCTGTACTTCTTACTTGATTTATAGGCTTTTTATGGAAATTCTCAATGACTGTTCTGATGTGGATGAGATCAAATTCCAAGAAGATGGTTCTTGGTGTCCAATGAGACCGAAGAAGGAAGCTATGAAAGTATCCAGCCAACCTTGTACAAAAATAGAAAGTATGTGAAAAATGGTAGCTGAGAGCAAAGCAATAGACTCATGCAACATTATCTTTGTCTCACTTAGGTCACCGCATTTAGAACTGTTTGCTACCTTTATCTTTTGATCTTCTGTTACATATGTAATTTCCCCCAAGTACTTTTTATTCTTAAGATATGTGATAAAGTTCATACCATCTTATAATCAGCCTTTTAATAGTATTTTTCATATGTAAATTGAATGAAACAATTACCTAAAATCATTTTAGAATATTGTGTTTGTTATAAAATGAAAAGTTGTAAAGGACATTTCTAAGGGGAGTTTTTTAGAATTGTTTTTTGAGTACCTGTTGGGATATCCCAAGTAGAAGTGTGGTTCCAGAAACTGCATCAGGGTCTGGGAGGTGGTCACAGTTTAGTTGCTAAAAAAGTAAACACATTGTTTCCATTTCTTTGTGGGAACGAATTTCAAGGTTGCCTTTGTTATACCTACGATGTATACTTAGCCTTCAATTCCCTTTACCTGTCCACAGGGTTGGGAAACTAAGTATACTTTGAGTAATTAAATCCCATGGGTAAATGTAAAGTTTCTGTTTATCTGACATAGGCCACTGGCTGGCATTTGAGTTTTCTGCTATGGTACCATTCCAACAATGCCATGAATAATAGGTGCTCAGAATAAGAAGAGAGGAAAAATACAGGATTTGTCAGTATTGGTCATTCTCATGTGATTGTTACTGAACCACCTGTAGAATGAGTGGAATGGTCAAGGTTTTCCCCATCTTGAGAAAAACAGTGGAGTAGTTAGTTAGTTGCTGCTGCTTTTCCATTACCAAGGAGCAATCATTTTCTGCTCCGTAAATTACACTTCTGGGAAATGGTAAGAACATACAGTGTATGAGACTATCACAGTGGGCATAAAGGAGAACCTAAATGATTAGGAGATGACTGATGAGAAGACTTTAAATGTCTGAATAACTTAAGTGAGAAGTTTGGAGTTTCTTTCAGTTTATCAAGGTGAAAATATATATCACTTTCTGGCTTATGGTGAAGAGCCTATACTGTCTTTGATATGAGCACCATTGCTTTGGAAGAGTAGAAGTACCTAATTCTCACTTAACACTGCCACCTATCTGTGAGTATACACAGCCAGTGGGGCCACAGACTCTTGTCCATGGCAGGAGACCAGCTCCTAACTCCAGACATCTGACTAAAAAATGACTGCTTATCTTGGCAGACAGCATGAGCAGCAGGACCTGTGCAGATACTTGGCAATATGGGGCAATAACTACTAAGAGCATGCCATTGGAAGGTTTTTGACCCTCTCTCAAGGCAAACAGCTCACCCTGTCTCCCCAGGTAAATAGTCATTTTACAGACAGATATCTGGAGTTAGTTGATATATGTCCATGGGATAGGGTATGTGTCTTTACTGGCTGTGTATTCTCCTGGACATGCTGCACAGTGAAGACATTTATGGCTATAGTTCATTTGTGGGACACCTTTGATTTTTTTTCCTCCTCTGTTCCCTACATGCAGGTTCAAGTGTCCTCAGTAAGCCTTGTTCAATGACTGTAGCCAGTGAGGCAAGCAAGAAGAAAGTGGATATTATTGACCTAACAATAGAAAGCTCTTCTGATGAAGAGGAAGACCCTCCTGCCAAAAGGAAATGCATCTTTATGTCAGAAACTCAAAGCAGCCCAACCAAAGGGTTTGTTAATTTATAGTTCACTATTGTTTATTACCCTTGGAACTAACTGTTCTTGGGCTAGGGTTGAGAGTTACATAACATTAGAAGGCTATTTTAATTTGTCTTTGTTTCATTGAAATATTTTCAAGTGAGCACATTGTTAAGAGGAAAGCAAATTTTGATGAAGAAACTATACACACTTCAGGGAAGTAAAAGTTGGAATCTTCTCCTGTCTAAATATTTATTGCATATTTGATAATTTTTGTCATTTTCTTGAACCTATTTCTAAGGAGTAAATTTGGCATCACCGACCAACATGAGAAAGCCTGGTGTAATAGAGTGGAATTAGGAAGCTGGCAAGTGTGAATTCCAATTTTGATGCCATTACTTATTCTGTGATCTTGGGTGAATTATTTGTTTGAGCCTCCTCCTTCTGTTCTGTAATGGTGTTAAATAATGCCTACCTCATAAGATTATTTTCAGGTTTCAGGAAGATAATATATAAGCTTAGTCTCAGTGTCAGGCACATGGTAGTTTCTCAGTAAAAATTGATGGCCTCCCCTTCTCACCCTCTATAGGGCAAAATATGGGCAAGTAAATGCATTATAGCATTGTGTTCTTTATGCTTCACCTGCCAGAGCCATTTCTCGCCTATTGTAAGTGACAGGTATATTTAACAGTAGGTACTTCTTAGAAATTTGGGGACCTGTGAGAAAGTAGCAGAGGGTTCTGTTGACGTCCTTTGAACATGTTTTAAACTTGAGTGTGACATTCTTGTCTTTTTTGCTTCTCAGTACACTTATTTTTTCTAATGGCTTATTGGGACATAATTCCCATTTTAAGTATTCAGTTGCATTTAAGTATTAAGTAAAATCAGCACAATTCGGTGATTTTAGTAAATTCATAGAGCTGTATAATTACCTTCCCAATTCAGTTGTACAATATTTACAACACCCAATAAGCTTCCCTCATGTTTATTTGCAGATAATTGCCATTTGCACCCTACATCTAGGCAGCAGTTGATCTTCTTTTCAAATTTTGCTTATCATTTAAATTCTAGAAGTGCCAACCAAATTGTCTGAAAGGAGCAATAAATGATGGGCATCCCCCCCAAAAAAAAACCATTTGAAGGCTTTTCTCATTTTCTGTTCCACTACAAAAACAAAAAAACCCCCCAAAAACCTCATTCTAATTAAATGGGTAAAAGAAAATATACACCCTTACTATGATGTGTATATCATATCTGGAAATGTAAGTATTTTAACAGTGAAAAAGACAACACAAAAGAGGGTTAATTCTCCTGGTTTAAAAAGTAACTATTAAAAAAGAACACTGCAAAAGTACACTGAGAGGATAATTCTATTTATGTAAAATGTCTAGAACTGTAGCATGGTGGATGAATGGGTCTAAGGACTGAAGCTGTTAAGTCAGGAAGCTATCTTGTTGTTTTTAAAAGGGAGTTACTGGTTTAACTGGATTAAGTTTATTTTCATTATATTATTTGGTAGCTCTAATTCCAGTGGAGGAAAGATACATGGAAGAACTTTCCATTGGAGCTTTCTGAACACTGAGAAAGTTGATGTTTTGTGCTAAAATCACATTTTCTGTGTTAAGGTAGAGTGGATACCACCAGTTGCGGTGTCATAATGGAGACTCATGCTATGGTTATATCAGCTCTGTAAACCCTTTCAACTCTTAGACTTTTTGTAGTCTGGTTTTTGGTCATTCTTTTCATAACCTCTGTTGGGCTCAGCATCTAGAATTTTTATGGTTTTCCTTTGCTGTGGAAAGCTATCATAGGACTCGTTGGTCAGGATAGTAAGTAAATGAGAGAATGAGAAACCAGGAAAACTTAAGTTATGTTCTAGAAATTATGTGAACAGTTATTTTTTAATAGGTATTATTTTATTAAAAATTATTCTTATGAACAGCTTTGCAAAACACCAAGAAGTAAAATACATTCTGCATAAAGGTTGACCACTATTAACATTTTAATGGTAATCCTAGCCTCTTTGCTTGCATACCTACTGTAGTCCTTAATGCACTCATATAGTACCTATCAGAAGAAACTGGCACCTTCATCTAAACTTTTAGACAACCTCTGATATTTTTCTACATTAAAAGAAAATTTTAAATGTTATGCTCCTATTTCCACTCCTGGAAATTGAGTGATTGCTTTGTCATATTAATAAGGAGATATTCTAAAGACAGGAAACAAAGAATAGAGATGAATACTTACTTCTGTGGATTAAGAATCATTAGAAATAGGTATAGCAAAATTCAATCTTTTTTTATATTTTCATGATCATAAAGTGAGAACACACTGAATTTCAGGTTTGCAGATAAATATTCAAGTTTTTGCAGTGTTAATCCATTTCAGACATCTGAATCTGGGCCAAGTATGAAGAATTCGGTGATCCCCAGTACATAGCCTAGAATACTAGTATTTGCTGTCTAGTAGCATTTGACAAGTTTACTTTTGTGCTATGGTATTAGGGGTAAAGGTATAAATATTTAAGTTATATATGTACACATGCATAATGTATATATATGCCTGTGTATTTGCCAGTCCTACAAGGAGAGAGTAACACATTTTAAAACTTATAAAAATTTGTTACTTTATAGTATTGCATTTCTATACCCTCAATTACATAAGACAATTTCTCCATGGTCCTGTTATTCCAGATACTAAAATACATCTGTTTTTCACATAGGCATCATTTGCCTTTGTGTTAGAATCATGTACCTTTCTGAATGTGGTCCTTGTGAAGATTCTGATTAAAGTAAAAATCTACCAGTATATAATTTCATAATCCTAGTTGAATTTGTGTTAACAGTCACAAAGTTCAGGTAATAGAAACTAACTTACATTAAATAGCTTAGTTTTTCAGGTGTTTGCTGAGGTTTTAGGTGTTCATTTAGTAATTTGTACCCTCATTGGATTTTGACATTTTCACATTCTGTGACATTTTGTATTGAAGAAACAAAGTTATTTAATAACTTAAAAGTTCATGTTATGAGAACAGAATATATGCAATAATTAGATGTTACTGTGATGACAGATGTAAGTGAGGGGCCCAGGGAGGAAAATGTTGTTGTTTCCTATAAATCTGATCCAAGTTGAAGGGTCAATTCAAGATCAAGATGAAAGAAAATAATCTCCAGTGTGAGTTTGATCAAAGGAGAAGGGAACAGGAGGAAGTCAGGCATTGTCCTTGTTTTGTAAACCTGAAAGTTTTCTTTTAGTTTCTTTCAGTGTTAGAGAAAAAGTGATAAATTAAATGTACATTTAATTCGGAACTTTTTAAAATAAGTGAAATTGTGTATGAGTGTATATATACACACACACATATACCTATTTTCAAAAACTTGCCTCTTAAAATGTGTGTGTGTGTATTATTAAGATAATAATACTGAGAGGCAGTCAGAATAATTGAGCCATTTTTTTAGCCACCTCCTTAGCACAAACATACCAGTCTCTCCTTACTCCTTGTGCACCGTCCCTCAGTTTCTGATACACATTTTTGTTTGGGAGGTATGATCATGTGTAATTTGAAAACAATTTTGGTGAGTTCTACTTTCACCCCTGTAGGAGGACCACTGTTTTCAAATGTCCAGAAAAAGATGTGCTTAATATAACATCCTTATTTAATCTCATCCTAAGATCTCTGTTTGCCCTTCCAGAGTCTTCCTTTTCTAACCTTGCTCAACTCACACTTGTTTTAGGTCTCCAGGTAACACTGGAGGCAAAGAGACCTCCTGATTATAAGCTAGGCTGGTAACTCTTCAGAAGATGACTTCCTTCCATCTTCATCTGTCACTGGAAAATGTGTTTTGAAATACCAGGCTTATGTTATTTTCTTGAGCACATTATATTCCTGTGTCTCTTACACTGATCAGTTTTAAGATATCCAAACTCTGACCTGTGTTTCTTATTCAGTGTTCTGAGATTAACACAGTTGCCAACACAGCCACTTATGTACTTTCAAGATGACTTTGTTTTGCACATTTCCAGTATCATCCATATTTTTGACAAATAGCACAGTAATAGCTAGACAAAGATCCTTATGCCATAATGCAGACCAGTTTCAGAAGGACTCCAGTGTCTAAATAGGTTGTGATTATTTAAATGGTTTGAGATTTAAATTGAGGTAATAAAACAGTTTTGTTAGTTGTTCAGAGTATGAAGAGAGTCATTCAATTTTATCATCAATTCTTACTACTAGTATTTGATAGTCTGCACAATGACAGGAAGTGTTTCATCACAGTAGAATACATCTAGAGTTCCTAGTTGTCATCTCAGTGTAGCTTTGTAACCACCGTCCTACTTTTGAGTTTCTGTCAGTTTTACTTTCTTCATTTTTGTAATGGTCCCTTACAGGCGCAGAATTCTCTGCCTCTCCCATTAGGCTTACTGTAGTTTACTGGCAGTGCTTTTGGGATGTTAACCTTAATGTCTCTGTGTCCTTACCCTCCCTTATTTTTTTTACTTAATCAAGTTTTAGTTTTTAAATTGTATAAATGGTAGGACTTGTTCATGCATCTTTACTAGTAGCAAGGGAATCTCCACCCTTGGTGTTCTGGTGTAGACCATTTGAACTCTGTACTTTGAAACCAGTTTAATGAGACCTTTACTAAGGGGCTGCCAGGGAACCATGAATCTTCAGTCTCTAGAGACAACAGCTGGGGTTATAAGCTTATAGTTGAAAACATCCTTACAGAGTTTGTCTTATGTGGCTTTGTCAAACAAAACTAGGTTATTGAGCTTGTCCTGAATTTGGCTTTTGGACCACTTCTTTTTGGCCTTGCCCCCAGATTTGTTCACTGGGGTTTTTTGTCTTTTTTGGTTGACTTCTGGGCATCTTTCTTCTTGTTATCCTTGAGTGGAATAATGAAACTTGGAGAGCAGCTGCTGCCATGCAGCCTTGCTGAGATGTCAGACAAAAAGATGGCCACCATCAGCCCCAGGGTCCATAACACTGCCTAGTTTTTTTTGTGCATTCAAGATGTGTTTCTTGTGAAGTCCTAATTTCTTAACCTAGGCTAAGTGAAAATGAAGGTTAAATAGGAAGAATGAAAAATCATTTCTCTTTATTCCTGAACTTTTAAAAAAATACATTAATTACACTGGTTCTTCAAAATTATAAAGTTAGAATTATATATAGTCTATACATATAAAATACCAACTAAAAAGTATATAATGTATCTTTAATTTGTATTTTTAGTAGCATGAACAGCTATTTCAAAGTCATAAACCCTCTTAGAAGAATAGACGGTGTCATGGTAGCTGACATTTTAATTTCTGGATATTTTAAATTCTGAGTATCATCTTATTCTAATGTCTGATTACTGCCTGTTCTCATCAGTTTAGTTGGCTTTAGGATTAACTGTGTTTGTTCAAGGGATTCCTAGATAAAATTGCTAGTAATCAACACAAATCAAGTTAGAGTGGAAGAAATTCTAGTTGAGCTGTAGTAAGTAGCTTCACTGGTAAAGATGCCGTGATTTAAATACGATTTTAGGAATCCTCTATTTTATTTCTAAACTTCCTTACAGATAATATTACCAATATGCACAATATGTTACATATATATTAGTAAAAGCTTTGTAAAGCATATTTCTATTTGTGGATGAAGTTATGTAGTTACCCCAGCACTGTACATTATGTTTTAATGCCAACTTGCTCTTAAGTCACAGCTGCTGTTGAGAGCCAACATATGTTCCTGTTAAAATGAAGACTGTTAGGAAAGGAGAGTAGAGTGAAGTGGTGTGTAGTTGTGCTGAAACTCAGTGAGTTTATGACTGAGCATGCCCAGTGGTGCAGCTCTTCTGTGGATTAACAGCCAGATTGTTTGTAATCTCCCATGCTATTTAAAACAGGGTTCTCATGTATCAGCCATCTTCTGTAAGGGTGCCCAGTGTGACTTCGGTTGATCCTGCTGCTATTCCGCCTTCATTAACAGACTACTCAGTACCATTCCACCACACGCCAATATCAAGCATGTCATCAGATTTGCCAGGTATGTGAAGAGATGCTTCATTTTGTTTTATTATCAAATTTTCTCATATATTTTTAGTCTTAATCTGTGGAGCAAAAATAGTTTTTAAAGTTTAAATAGAAATGCTAAGGAAATTTGAAGTGTTCATGTAAAGGTACTGTCTCAATACATCATTTTTAATTCCTATCATTTAACTACAGAGCAGTCTATAGATTCTTGATGATAGGAAATAAAGTAGGGTACTAGGAACATTTTATGGAGTTTATTCTCCCTCACAGAGACTTTTTCTTCACTTACTTTTCATAGAAGCTTCACAGGTTAGGGAGAGTTTTTTTTCTCATACTCTCATGGTAGCCCATCACAACTTCAGATCATACTGGTGTACAGTGAGGTCACTTTGCGTATCAGCTTTCCTCCATGGGTTTTTTTTCCCCTGTAAAAATAGTATCTACCAGCTGTTTCCCCAGAACACTGCTCAATATTTAGCAATATCTTAATATATGCATGTTAACTCAACATTTAAAAAATGCAAGGTGCTTGAATTAATACCCATACTTATGCAACCAAGGCCATATTGTAAAATTTTTAGACTCCCCACCACCCCCAGTCTTCTTCCATCTCTCCATAGCCATTGTTTTTGCAGACATTTTTAGTCATTCAAATATGAGCAAGTTAGAACCAATGCCTCTTATATTCATGACTTCTCTTCCTCTGAAGGGCCCTTTTAGTGAAATTAATTCTCTCCTGTTATTTTCTTTTCTAAATTTATGAAGTTAATGCAACCTATTGTTTATTATTCTTATCCCTCTTAGCACAGTATATATTATCTTAGGCAAAGTTTGTGTTGTTGAAATGGTTGATGGTTGTGTTATCTGGCCCATGTAATTTTGCCACTTGAACGTTCAGATCATTCAAATAAAATTTAATGGAAAAGAAGAGACTAAAAATAGTATCCATCAAAAATTTTTAAATCTCTTAAATATGTTTTTATTCATATGTACTTAGGGAATTGATATTTTCAAAAATTGCTCATAAACCCAGCTAGCACCAAGTATTCTATACAAAACTAGATGCTAAGGTACAGGTGAAGTTTCATGGTTCTTAAGACAAATGGAAACTTGGAGATCCTTAATTTCTAACTGCCATGTTTTGCTTTAATTAAACTTGGCTAGTTTCAAGTGAAGTTGAAATGTGTCAACACATCTTCTTAGTATGATATAAACGAGCATTCCAGAAGTATTCATTTCCTGAAGACCTTGAAATAAAAAGTAATCCTGAAAAAAAAATAGACATTTTTTTACTAAAAGTGACCTTGACCATTTGGCAATAGACACGATTGCTCTGTTAGTTTTCAAATTATGTGAGTCTACATGAATTTTTAATTTTGGAGAATTTACGTTATTTCAAAATTTGAGGTTAAAGTGAGAATACTTTTGTAAAATGTGCATATTTGAGAAAATGCAGTAAAATATGTTAACCATGTATTTTGTAAGACACATTTCAAGCTGGTATTAAGGAACCAAGGCTAACATGCAGGACTAATATTTGTTTAGCCAATATAAACCAGTATGGTGATACTGGTTATTAAAATGTTGAAATGCTTTCTTTACCAGTCGATAAACTGAATAGAATAGGATCTGTGTTGTATTTTAGAATTACCAATTTATCATAATCTATGAATTATGTAGCAATTACTACATCTAAATAGTTTAGTTTTTACTTTGGTTTTCTTGTTAACATGCTCTTTTGTAAATTAGTAATTATTTTGGGAGTTTTTATGTAGTCATTGTACAGAGTTTTTATACTTATAAATTTAATAATTTATAATAAAATATTAAATAGAACACCAAGAATGGAGAGATGACAAAGTTTTAATACATTTCTTAACATTTCTTTTAAATATCATAAATATGAATCTTCTGAATCTGCAGGAGAACAAAGAAGAAATGATATTAATAATGAACTGCAGCTTGGAACATCTTCTGATACTGTGCAACAGTGAATACAAAATAAAACAAATAATTTGTATTTATGGAATGGAAAACAGCTTGATTATTTCAAGAAAACATATGACTGCCTTATTATTGCTAGTGCCATATTGTCAGGTGCGAATGGTGCTCTCAAAAGTTGTATCATTAAAATTTGCAAGTGCTAAACATTTACATATTTAATCATGTAGCAATCATGTTTTGTTAAAGTTCATGGCTCAAGCAAAGAAAATGTGTTAGAAATAAGATATACAAAGTCAGTTTCACATAAAGAAGCATTTAAAATCTAAAACTGTGTCAATAAAAACATTCAGAATGTACCATCAGTTTTTAACAATACCTGCTTTTTAGTTAAAAAATGGCTCAAGTAAGGAAAATGTTAGAAATAAGACATTCAAAGTCAGTTTCACATAAAGAAGCATTTAAAATCTAAAACTATAAGTGTTAATAAAAACATTTAGGATATACCATCAGTTTTTAACAGTACCTGCTTTTTAGTTAAAAATAGTTGAGCATTTTCAACCATGAAATACTTAGGAGGGCATAAAAACATCAATACAACACATGGTTACAGATGAAACTTGTGAAATAAGAAAATAGCATTTTGCTAAACTTATAAAACAAAGCAGTTAACATTGTGATCACTATTCTTGAGACTTCATCTATTTCATATGAGTTTTAATAGTTAAAATGTAAAACAAGACTGATAAGAGTTCAAAAATTTTTATTAGAACAAATAACATTTGAAATACTATATCCAAGTTCAGTGTTGTGTTTGAGAAAAAATGGTTTCAGTGCAAAATACTTACATTAACACATTATTGGAATTTGTGTCATATTAGAGAGACAGCCTAGAGTTTCAGCCAAAGTTTTAGGAAAAATTCTAGGTATTTAATTATAGCATTGTCTAAGTCACCATATTCAGTTATCCTTGGATGAGTGTCAAGAAATAAAGATTTATCAAGTCTCCTAAATCTTTTTCAATGGACTATATCTACTGGCACACATGAAATACTCTTCAAAGAGAATTACAGTATATCTGAAGAGCTGGGAATTAAAACAATGAAAATATGATGTCTTTGCATCCTGATGGTAGCTTCCAGTGCTAAGAGCCACAAAAGCAATTTGAAAATTTTATCAACCCTGGGCATTTAAGTTGAAGTTATGAGATGGGAGTAGTTAAACATTTAGAAAATAAGCATTTTTGAGTGATTTGTTTCAATACACAATATTTCATCAGAGATATCAGTACTTCAGCTCTATAAAGATAGCTTGTTATTCAAATAGACTGATTCAACAAAGATTAAAAGTGAACATACAGAATTAAACTGTAAAAAGCAGAACCCACTATAAAAGAAATTTTTTATCATTTGAGGCAAAACAAAAAAAATAATAAAATTATGCCAGTTAATTAAATGGTATGCCAAATAAACTATTTTTGTGACTAAGTTAATAATAGAAATGTTGAATAAAACTCAGGGTATTATAAGGGCCAGACACATTTTGAATTACTATTCAACAGAAGCAGAGGATTTATTGAAAAAAATAATTAATGCAAAGAGTAACTCTGCTTACCGCGGATATGTCACCTACTGATTGTCAACTTAATGGGGAAGTCATTGGAAAAGTTCTGATTCTCTTTGTCCTTTGTCTTAAACCCCACTGTGTCATATCACAGTGACAGGCATACAAGATCAGAAATCATATCAACAGTTTTTTTTAATGTTTTAGAAATTGGATTTTCAAGTTGTTGATGCTACAGCTTGTATGACTTGATCAGCATTTAAATCATACCCTTATTTAGAGATTATAAGGGAGTAAATACAAATTTTTGAGTTATAAATTATCACATTAATTATTAACTTTCAAATATAATTCCCACTAATATTCTCTGTTTTGAATAACAGTCAAACTTGTATTTGAGATGACATTGAATGCCAGCCTATAAAAATTCATAGACCTGAATAGAAATTGGCCTTAGTGGCCTCTATTGCATATGTGATTTTATTTTTTTTAATACTTTGAAATTCAGTCAAACAGGTCTTGGGGAACTGACTTTGAAGTTAATTGCTAGACTTTTCAGACCTGAAAATTCTTATTTATTGTTATAACTGTAATATTTCAAAATGAGTATTACTGAGAACCTTTTACACATTCCTGTTTCTAAAGCATAATTGGAGAACCCCAGGTCTTTGGTTTAGAAAACTGCATTAGATTATAACCCTATAAACCCTGATAAGGTTTAGCTTGTTAGTCAGTAGTAATTACCAGTTGATTGCTTTGTGCACAGCATCGAACTGTATACTTTGATGTGGGAAGAGGGTGACAGAGAGCTAACCATGAAATAGACATCTATTTAGGAAGTGATACATTAGTTGAAGCTCAGTGTGGTGTATTTCTAAAAAATAAATGTGAAGTATCATAAGAGCCTAAGTATGTTTTTTAATGATCCAAATCCAGATCATTATCGCATCATTTTTATTGCTTCTCATTCTTTTAAGTGATGATTGGGGGAAAGTTTGCTTTGACTAGTCCTACTTCTCTGGAAATTTTTGGACTGCTCCCTTTCAGTCTGTGGGGGGAGGTTTTCCAGTTTTGTTTTTTCAGGAAATGTGTTCATTTTTGGGTTTTGTGCACATTAAATATCACTGATCCTGGTATAAAACTTACCTACGGCAAAATGGTAAGCACTTGCCCCAAATGTTTTATGACTTAATGATAAATACAAAATGACTTTGGGAAATAATTCTTGTCTCCAAAATATGAGACAGCTATTAACAAAACATTTTTGTTTTAGGTTTGGATTTTCTTTCCCTTATTCCAGTTGATCCCCAGGTATGTATCCTGAATTTAAGCAACTAATTTGTATTTGGCTATTGGTTATGTCATACTAACTAAAAATGACCAGTTGCATAAAATCAGGACAGTCAACTCTCAGTTACTTAACTTGATGGAAAGGAAGTGCTATATAAATATTTTGCAAATTTATTGACTAATAAAGTTGCTATTTTCCAGTTTATGATATTTTGGCATTGATACCTGGGTTTTAAATTACATTTTGTTTAGTTTAATAATCAGTTGGCATTTCTTACTAGCATTTGAGTGATTAAATTGAGAGGAAGTAGTGCTTGGTAACTGAAAGTTAAAACTTTACAGAGATAATTTGTAAAATACTTGCTCTATCATTACTGTTTTCTCTGTCAGAGGTAAGAAACTAGTATTCCAGAGTCCCAGCATGAAGACCTTGCAGGGGCATGGACTGTCAGTCTTATAACAGGCAAAACAGAGGAAGAAAAGGCATGGGAAAAGTGGAAGGGGAAAGCGAAACAGAAAGGAGGAGACTTTGAGAGAATGATGACAGTAGGGAAGGATAAAGAACCATGGGCCGCTGCTTGGTAGGCTGTGCAGAATCAGCTCCCCACAGGGCTTGTGTATCAGCCTGCTGTTTCAGTACTCTGTATCTAATCACACAAACAAGCACCACAAATTTGGGCCTAAGGTAACAATGCCCAGAGTGAGGAATTTCTTCTCACCCTCAGTTGACTTGGTTATATCAGTAAATTCTGTAGCAAAAGTATATATTTCTCTAGTAAATGGATTCTTTAGGCTTAAAATATTACTGATTTTTATGAGAACTGTCCTTTTTTAAAAAAAAGATCTTAGAAAACATAGAAGATTTTATTTCACAGTACTGTTTGGCATGCTTAGTGTCAGGCTGACTTACCTGATCAGCCAGGAGGAGGGTGAGGTTATACCTCCAGGTTTCCTTAGAATTCTTAGATTTGTTCTACTTTACCCTCATATTTCCCCCTTAATCCCTGTTATCCTTGTGCAGGTATGTGCCAATTACATATAAAGGGTAGAGTTAGAGGGAAAATGGCTGCAACATGAGTATTATAAGAATTCAAGGCATAGAGCTTATTGATATCAGGACTTAATATCTAGCATTCATTTTATAAATGAGGAAGAATACCTTTTTATTACTAGGCAGTCAGAAACTGTCTGAAAGGTGATAGAAATTATAAATAAATTTCTGGGCTTTTTTTCCAGATTCTTTACCCAGTTTTAGTGGAAAGTTAGAAATTTATTTAATTTTAAAGGTGAAGTTTAGTACTTGACTATTCAACTCTTGTTAAAGCTACTTAGGAGCTCTGTAAGAACTATTCCTTCTCTCCCTTAATCAGCGTACCTTAAATCTCTTTGTGCATGGTATTCATTTAATTGATGAACCAAGACAGTTAGTTATCCATCCTAAACATTAAATTACTTTTTTGAAAGGCAGCCTGAATTTTAGTTTTGCTCTTAACACTAATTGATATCTTAAACCTGGGGTCATCGTTCCCTTTTATAATCTTTTTGATCCTGTAATCTAAACAACTGCAGTTTTGAACACCTGTTTGGTAATTCAGTATCTCTAATGATAGGCTCAATAACATAGAATTGGTAATACTGATCAGATATCTATACTGATCATCTTTCATTCATTCAATCTAAAAACAAGCTTTCAGGACATCTCTTGTAATATAAACTGGACCTCACTATATATAGTAAAGTTAGTGTGGTTGTTTCTCACATAGGATATTCTGTGGTGATAGAAGATAAAGCTTTTAGTTTTTGTCTCCTCTTGGTCAGTTAAAGTATTAAATTGAGGTTTGAATTTGGGAATCATCAACCAAAATAGTAGGGAAACTTGATATATGAACTCTTGAGGGTAGTGTCAAGCAATCATCACAAAGAATGTTAGATTAGATCTTTAAGGTTTTTTTCAAAATTTTGTGATTACATGAGATAATTCTCTCTTGAGTATGCTGTGGTAGTTAGCTACTATGTAGTCTCTATTTTAGAATGAGTGCTATCCTAATTGCACAAGTATTGTTATGTGTGTACAGAGGAGTCAGACACCACTGTTCAACTGATCAGTCTTAACATTATTCCTAAAGGGTCTTATTGAAACTGAGTTTTGAAAGACTTAGTGAATTCTGCATTGACATATTTGCTTAATACCATTAAAAATCAGTATATATTAGCATTAACAATGTGACCTAAGCCTGGTGAAAATACATTTAGTGAACAAATACTTTGTGAGATTGAGTCATAATTTAGGGCAAATATTTACTAATAAGTAACTACAGTTACTGTTGACATTTTTGTACTTGTACCTATATATTTAGTCAGCAAATTCTGCAAGTTTTGGGAGAATCAAGAATATGCTGCACGCACTAAATATGTAAAATAGCTGAATTCATGCCACCTTCCATCCAAAAACGTGAAGTTATGAGAAGCTTTTAAATCCCACTGGAATTTAAGTATTTGGCTGTGACTTGTGCATATCTAACAATTTCTAGTCTCTTTATTAAAATCAATATAGCCTCTTCCTCATCGGCATCATTGTTTGTTTCAAGCAGTACTGTCCTCCTATGTTTTTGGATAGTCTCACCTCACCCTTAACAGCAAGCAGTACGTCTGTCACCACCACCAGCCCCCATGAAAGCACTACTCATGTTAGTTCATCCAGCAGCAGGAGTGAGACAGGGGTCATAACCAGCAGTGGAAGTAACATTCCTGACATCATCTCATTGGACTGAAGGAGGACTCACTCAATTGTAGGAGTCATTCATCAAAACTGCATTTCTCACATAGGATATTCTGTGGTGATAGAAGATAAAGCTTTTAGTTTTTGTCTCCTCTTGGTCAGTTAAAGTATTAAATTGAGGTTTGAATTTGGGAATCATCAACCAAAATAGTAGGGAAACTTGATATATGAACTCTTGAGGGTAGTGTCAAGCAATCATCACAAAGAATGTTAGATTAGATCTTTAAGGTTTTTTTCAAAATTTTGTGATTACATGAGATAATTCTCTCTTGAGTATGCTGTGGTAGTTAGCTACTATGTAGTCTCTATTTTAGAATGAGTGCTATCCTAATTGCACAAGTATTGTTATGTGTGTACAGAGGAGTCAGACACCACTGTTCAACTGATCAGTCTTAACATTATTCCTAAAGGGTCTTATTGAAACTGAGTTTTGAAAGACTTAGTGAATTCTGCATTGACATATTTGCTTAATACCATTAAAAATCAGTATATATTAGCATTAACAATGTGACCTAAGCCTGGTGAAAATACATTTAGTGAACAAATACTTTGTGAGATTGAGTCATAATTTAGGGCAAATATTTACTAATAAGTAACTACAGTTACTGTTGACATTTTTGTACTTGTACCTATATATTTAGTCAGCAAATTCTGCAAGTTTTGGGAGAATCAAGAATATGCTGCACGCACTAAATATGTAAAATAGCTGAATTCATGCCACCTTCCATCCAAAAACGTGAAGTTATGAGAAGCTTTTAAATCCCACTGGAATTTAAGTATTTGGCTGTGACTTGTGCATATCTAACAATTTCTAGTCTCTTTATTAAAATCAATATAGCCTCTTCCTCATCGGCATCATTGTTTGTTTCAAGCAGTACTGTCCTCCTATGTTTTTGGATAGTCTCACCTCACCCTTAACAGCAAGCAGTACGTCTGTCACCACCACCAGCCCCCATGAAAGCACTACTCATGTTAGTTCATCCAGCAGCAGGAGTGAGACAGGGGTCATAACCAGCAGTGGAAGTAACATTCCTGACATCATCTCATTGGACTGAAGGAGGACTCACTCAATTGTAGGAGTCATTCATCAAAACTGCACTTTCTTGGATCTCTGGTCTGTGGAAGCTATTTTTTTGGTAAAAATTACTTTGATATTTATTGAAATGTCAAGTGGATTCTTTCGCCTTCTGCGAGATGAACACAGATGACTGCAGCAAGAACCAGATGACATGCAAGGATTTTTCTTGTTCGTTCTGTACTCTGAGCACCAGATACATTCAGCCATAATAGTATCTTCTTGAGAGATGGATTCCAATTTCATGTTACTGGATGGATTCCACAAATTAAAATTTTTGTTGTAATAAGCAGCAATAAAATTATGTAAATATTCAAGTAAACTTCTTTCTAATTAAAAAAGATGTAATCAGTGATCCTAAAATGACAGCAGCTTTTTTTTAACCTAATGTGAAGGAAAAAATATATGGGAAGAAGCTTGCCGAGTGAGTCTTTTCCATGGAGATCTGTTCTCATTCACTGAAGTAGTGAAGTCTTGATAAGTGGCCAGTGCTTGGGTTCCACTTTTCTTCTTGCTGTTCCACATTTCTTCATAATTTCATCAAAGAAAAATGGCCTTTGTGTTACACATTTTTCCGTGGTTGTCATTTATACTTTGATACTGTTTGCTAATTAATGCAGAGTGAAGCTCTTGAGTTTTGGCTGCTCTTTATTAGTGATTATGTGAAAAAGCACTGTGCAGACTCTTCCCTGACATAATGTGCATTATTTTTGGTGATTGTACATTCTCATTCTAGCGAGTTATATAAATTTGGGACTTGCTGTCTCAAAAAGGAAATTCTATGCAGCCATTAACTGTAATATTTTTTAATAAGGTGTGGCTGAATGTTCATTAGAATTTTGTTCGTGCTGTCCAGAAATAGTGTGAGAACTTGGAGGCAGTGGAAGAACAGGTTTAGGGAAAGTGGAAATAGCAAAGTTTAATTTCTTCCTAAGAACTTTTGCTCATTTATTTTATAGAATAAAATACAAATCTTTGTTGAAGCTTTTCAGATTTTAGTAACACTGACAAAGTATGTTTCAGTTCTCTTATCATACTTCTCTCACATATAACTTGAGTCTCATAGCACAGATTTTCAAACTTGAAGAAAGTAACAAGGGACAGGGACAGCATCATCTTTCCTTTTCCCCTTTTTCAAAGGAAATCTTGACTAAAGCCACAAAAGACAAAACAGAATTAGAAATGTTTGGATTGAAGGAAGAGCTGGGAAAATGGGCCTAAAGCCCACTTTGAAAGCTACTCTCTTTAGTGTTTGGTTTTAAATCCCTCAGGAAACTTGAGTTTTACCCTTAGAGAAACATTTTCATCCAAATTTTATACTCTTGTTTGTTTCATTTGGCTTCCTAAATAATTTTTGAATTCTCAAGGAGTTAATACTTTCCTAATGTTTAGCTTTCTCTTCCTAAGTTGTACCTACTGTAAAAATAAAATCCTTTTTAAAAATGACAGTTTCGCAAACTGAAGTGCCCCGATGGAGAGTCTACCAATTGCAGTCAGAATGGACATGTTGCTTCAAGCTTGGTGCACCTTCACGAAGCTGACTTGTCACTACTTGGTTTTCACACCTCCTTGCGTTTTTGTGGCCTCAGTGCACCTTTGTACTGATTGAATTTCATGTGATTTTTGACATCATCCCCTTAATGTATTACCCTTTTGGAGAGCTGCTTAATAATTTTTTTTAGGTGTGGAAAACAAACCAGAATATTTTGCAGCAGTTGCACCATAGCTGCCAGTTTTACCTACCACTTTGGTCAGTAGATTTCCAATCTACATTACAGTCCTTTGATCCAGATAATGGAATTTCTTCCTAGTAAAATTTTATGTTGCTGCTCTAAATACAGATGCAATTTCTGTTAACTCTGTAATCAGATAGAAAAACTAACTTGATTTGTGTAATAGAATTTGTTAATAAAGAAATGATGTATATTTGTTATCATTTTGTTACCCTTTAGATCCTCAGAGATTCCCCCTCCCCAGTTTAACCAACAAAGTTTTATAAGGTAAATGAAAATATTAATAGAAATTAGTTTATTTACTTGGTTCTTGTAACTGAGATCTCTGTGCTTTTATAATTGTGCTTTGTTTCCTTTTCTCTATTTAATGTGAGCAAGTTTGAGTGTTCATTTATGGTGCTTTACATTGAAATTACATATGAAATTTTAATTTATCTCCTACAGGCCACTAGCATTTTTTAAAATACATATTTACATTTATAATCTTGGGGCCATGTTTCCTTTTCTCTATTTAATGTGAGCAAGTTTGAGTGTTCATTTATGGTGCTTTACATTGAAATTACATATGAAATTTTAATTTATCTCCTACAGGCCACTAGCATTTTTTAAAATACATATTTACATTTATAATCTTGGGGCCTTTGTGTATGTATCTTTGAAGGTGAGTAGTTTCTTTTATGCCTTTGGCCTTAAGGTGAGTATTTTTTCTTTGTGCCTTTGGCCTTATGACAATAGCATGCTTATTAAGCCAATATCCCTTTTTTTTTCTTTAGTATGGTCACTAAATATTTTTTCAAAGACCCTGATTTTTTGACAGTCTATTTTGCTAGCCCAGATTTCTGCCCTAACCAAGTACAATGTGGTTTCAGAGAAGATGGTCTTAGCTGTTACTTAGATGTGAACCATCTAATGGATTATGTGGAATATCTTGTTTAAGGAAAGGAACCGCTATTATTAGTTTCTTACAGACACTTAACCAACCTGTATTTTTACCTTTATTCACATATAAATGTAAGGATAACGCCTAACAATGTAATGGTGCTGACAGCTGCACACCTAACATCTGCTTACATTCCCCAACTTTCTAACCCATAAGTGAACCACTTGAGCATTTTCTCTTCATTTCTGCCTAGAAGGTATAAATACTTGGCATCTGTCATAGGATAATTATAAATGCCAAATGAAACAGTAGAGGTAAATTTAGGTTATATGGCATTTTTCTGATCATGTGTTTTGGGACAGCTGGAATGAAAATATGATTAGGTGAGAGAGCATGTGTATAAATAAGTTGATCCATAACTCGTGGTATAAAAACAAGTTTCCCTAGGGTAGAATCTTTAAGTTGATCCATAACTCGTGGTATAAAAACAAGTTTCCCTAGGGTAGAATCTTAAGGAATTTGAAGAAAGGTAAAATTTCAATTTTAAGTGAAATGGTCAACAGCTACTATTCTGACTTTGAGATTCAGGCCTTTTAACTTTTAAGACATTCTGCTTTCAGGAGAGTCCTGGCCACATCATTTGGTAACAAAGTTGTGTATTTTTAATATTCATTAGTTACATTGTCTTTAAAGGCAACTTTTACAAAGCATTAATTTGATTATCAGGTATCCTTTTCATTTCTAGCAACTAGTTGGTAAAACAGCACTTAATTATTTAATTTTCCAAATTTTTTTCGTCTTGAAAAATGTAGAACAGTGTGCCATTTAAGCTTGTGCCTGACTATTTGTGGCCTTGGATCCCTGTGTCGCGGGAGCTTGGAGTTGTCTGTTTAGGTTTGTAGTTCATTGAACCTGATTCACCATCTTTTCTGCTACAGTTCTTCGTGAATATGGAGAAATTTGTGGGAAAGAATTTAAGAATTTCTCTGCTTTTTTAAGAGTCTGATGCTTCGATCAAATAAATGACTGGTTTGTAAGCCCCTTTTTGTTAGGACTCACACTCCCAAATCCTAGCAGAAACAAATAAAGCTTTTATAAAAATGTCCATTCTTCTTTAATGCTTGCCTGATTGAATAATGGCTTTTTTGTTTATGTCAGTAATGCATGCTTATTGTGGAAAATTTAAACAATACAGAAAAGAATAAAAATAATTGCCTGTAATTAATATCACCGGCAAGATGGGGGAGTAAGGGTGGGTAGCACGCATATTTCTTACCAGTCTGGTCTCTTTGCTACTTGTGCATGTTTTCACATTTTACATAGTTTTATTCTCAGTATAA